TTTTTTATTAAATATTTTTATTTTTTACTTTACTTTTAGGTGCTTTGGGAAAATATTAGGGGTCTAAACAGACCCCTGATATTTCCCTTTTAAAATAGAAAAAGAGATTGAGAACACAGAGTCCTCAATCTCTTTTTTTTTTTCTGTGTCCCCTGTTATCAATGAACAGGAATCCTCTATGAGTGTTCCTGTTCATTGATAAAATGAGAACATTGTTTGTTTACTATAACTACAACTATGAATGAATGGGGGTGATGTAGATTACTCCCATTCATTCATAATTGAGGATATAGTTAACATACCATATCCTCAATTATGTACACACACTCGCGGAGTATGTGTACCTTGCTTTTCTCTCTGGCACGCTGTCACAGGAGGCTGGTCGAGTGGTGTAGAGAGGAGAGCCCAGCCTCCTGTGACAGCGCTGTCTCCGCCCCCACACCGCTCTCCCGTCCTTAGCTAGTTTGTGTCCTCCCGTTACCCTAAGGAGAACTATGGGGAAAAACACTGACACCATAGTTCTCCTAAGTGATCACCTTTACATATACGTATAGAAAACCTTCAATAAAACAAAAGAATAGCAGCCCTTACTACTGTCAAATAGACAAAACTGAATATGTTTTTGGATTGTTGGAATAACTGGATGATCACACTAATTGCACTCTTTACTTACTGCAGACCTCTTTTCTTTAAAAGAAAATACCACCTTTGCCAAAAAAATAGAATACAATCATTCTTTACAAAAGACTATCGGAAACTGAATGTAATTAGAAACGATTTTGCTATTACAGTCTGCTGCGTGCAACACGTTTCTAACATTTGCAAACAATGAAAGTCTTGCTTGCAATCTGGTAAACCTGGGGGGATCTGTAAGCCATTTGTGTGACGGGCTTCCCAAAAAGTCTGCACAGAGCTGGAAATTAAATCAGAGGCACCCACTGCAAAAGGAGTCTCTTTTGACCACAGGGGATTCTTTTTAAACTCTCATGATTTCAGAACTGTCGCAGCGATTAATGTGTATCATTATCAGTTTATAAAATGATTTTGCTTGTTGCCTAAAGTTGAAGTTAAAGCAGCCTAGAGTCTCTGTGCAAGCTCTCGTGAAGGAACTGCAGCAGTATCGATCCTTATCCAGCTATAAAATAAATCTCAAAGTCAGAGGCATTAAATATCTCTCTCCCCTCCTCCTTAGTAGACAGTATTTGGTCCTATTATCCTTATAAATGGTCCACCAATTTATCTCTATATTACTTAGGAGTCCAGATCCCGTCTAATTTGGACTGCGTTATGGAGCTTAACTTCACCCAATTCTTATGGTCCCTCAGGAAAGATTTCGAGGCCTGGTGTAGGACTACTATTACTTGGTTTGGCAAATGCAATGTGCTCAAAATGGTGGGCCTTCCCAGGCTTTTATATTTGTTACAAACTGTCCCAGTCCCGCTTCCGCAGAGCTACCTGAAGACAGT